ACAAAAACCCTAAAACTGGAGGGTGGGGATTGGTAGGGAATTCATTATGATGTTTTTTAGGTGCATCTATTGCATTCCCCGCTCATGTCTCATAGTCATAATGAGTCCTTTTTCTTTTCCTTTTTAAGACGGACCCAAGAATGTGGATGTTAAAAAAAAAAACAAAAAAGAATTCAAATTTAGCCTCTCTTTTTTGGCAAGAAAAGAGGCCTCAGGCCCATCAAATTTAGCCATTTTGTCGTTTTATATGATACATATGGCACTAGCAATTGTGAACAATAAAAACATGAATATAAAGATAAGATTTGAATTTCACCTGCCAAAAAAAAAAAAAAAGAACACTATCATGTTAAAGCCTTGTCATTAACTAAGAACATGTTCGGTTTTGCATTAAAAATCACGAAAATCATAGTTTTGGTGGAAGTAGGGATACCACTTGCATCAAATAAAATCATAATTTTGGTATTTTCTTACGTTCCCACCAAATTGTAGGTTGTAGTTTCTGTCTAGGAACAGAGCCAGGAAAGTTTCTCCTTCTCTGAATTGTTTCTTTTATCTGGTAATTGTTTGATCTCTTGAAGGGAACACATTTTCTAGGAAACTTAACCTAGCTTGCAAGAAAACACAAAAAGTTTTCATTTACGGGCCGAAAGGTGTGCCAGCCTTATTATCATTATTGCTCTCAATTTTCATTTGAGATGGTTGGATCTTGTTAGGGTCAAATGGGGTGTGCCAGTTTGGACCTTTTTTTCTGTTTTTTTAAAAGGAATATATTGAGGAATAGTTAAAACATGTGATCTCACATGTGACACCTCCGTCTGTCAACCAGAAAAGAAAATACTAAGGAAAAGTTGACCTACGAGGCTTCGCCATCTGATAGGAATTTGACACCTGTAACATCTGATCACGTTCACCGAAATGAGAAAATTCCAGATGCTTGGGACTGAAATTTGTTTGTTTTTTTCCATATGGTGATTTTGTTCTAGTCGTCTTCTTCCTCCAAGCCCACTCTCATATATTGAACTATGGCCACTATCTTTTCTTTTAATAACCACCAGAGATTGAGAAATGGCAGATAATAGAACCTTTTGGACAGCTGCTTGAGACAAACTTGCGAAATCTCAAGTTTCTCAAGATTGACTAATTTCTTTGGAGGATTATATCACTTTACCTCTTTTAAAATATGTTACAGATTAAAATATAGTAATTAATAAACTAAGCAAGTAGATGTCGGAAACGAATAAAAGATCACATTTTGAAACGTTTTCTGCGGAACTGGACTACAAAAATAAAAGGAAACATAGTATTCAAAATGCTAATAATCTTTGTATATATGACTAAAATGCTGAAGCAGAGGACATGGTACAATGATGAGAAAACTCGACAGTGACGGAAGAATACCTGCTTCAAAGTACAAATATATATAGTTTTGTACAAACCCAATAAATAACAATCCAAATTAGAGTAATGCCTTCTAGATCGGGGTGAACGAAAAATTAACCCTTGAGTAGTAACTTCATTATAGCAGAAGCCACACCAACAAGCTTCTGCAGAACCCCATTTCTATCCCCCAGAAGAGACTTATTCTGAGCAGAGCCTGAGAATCTCTTATCACAATTATTGATTTCTTTGGCAGCATCAGAGATACAGTAACTGGCAAACCCAAATCTGCCTTGGCTCACAGCATCGGCTGCTTGTGGAAGAGTGTACTTGACGATAGGTATGTAAGACTCTGCACAGAAAGCCAAGGCTTGCTCTAACTGTTGATCTGAAGTCTGCTTGATGAGCCCTTCTATGTAATTCAGAGTGTCACTTGTATTTGCCAGAAGGTTATTCACCATTACAAGAGCAGCCCCTTTGAGATCAGGTTTTCGGGTGAGAGGATTTGAATGGAGGGTGGCGATACAGAGGTCATAAAAAGGCGTCTTTCTGCATATCTGGTCTATGAAATCGCCATTACTGCTTGTATTAAGGTCAGAGGATTGGTGGGTTGGTGTGAAGAGAAGTGAAGCAACCAGAGCAAGAAGAAGAAGTGGAAAGGAGGAGGAGGAAGAAGAAGAGAGTACAGAGGCTGAGCTGAAGCTTCTCATTCTTCTGTCTCGAGAGAGAAAATGGCGGATGAAGAAGAAGATGATGGAGGAGGAGGGAGGGCGAATGTCTCTGATGTTCGTGCCTGAGGCTGACTGCTATTTATGGTTAGTTTGGTCGTTTGGTGTGTTAAAAATGGGGAAGTTAGTTTGTCGCTATTTGGAGAAAAAGAAAGAGGTGAAAATATTTGAAATTTGTTGTTGGCATACGTTTAGGATTTGAACACAATTAAAAAGAAAGAAAGAATATTTATAAACAAATTTAGTCTATGGAACAGAGATGTATAATAATCATATCATGTGAGTGAGCATGATTAAATTAAAACGTTTAATGTCCAAGTCTAAGAAATGGAAAGCGATGAGGCAGCTGTAAAATAATTGGAACAATGCATTTGTTAATGATGAAGTTCGAAGCATTATTTGAAGTCTAATCATGTGTGTGTGTGAGAGAGAGAGACTGGGAGGGAGGGAGGGGGTAATTGAAATTTGCAGGTTTTGAGGATACCATGGGCTGGAAAGAAGGAAAAGGAAGAGGTGTGTACACAAAGTTTAAGGTTTGAGGAGCTTGGGGCTGTCCCATGTATCACGGATGTCCTTTTTCTTCTCCTCCTTTTTCTGTTGGTTCTGATCCCATCACTGATTGATTCTGGGGTTCATGGGAGCCAGAGAGGGGAGAGAGAGAGGTGTGAGAATCAAAATTTCAAGTGAGGCTATAGCTTTGGTTCTTAACTGGGCTCTTGTGTTTTTCTCAAACTTTACTCCTTTCGTTTTAAAATATAAACTAAATTTTATCTATTGTTATGTTTATTAAAAAACTAATTAAAATCAATTTAAAAGAAAAAATATGTGAGGCATATATTTGTTTTTCTTAGTACACCCTTATTCATTAAAAGAATAAGTAAAAGATGTAATAAATGAATTAAAGAGGAGAGATAATATATAGAGATAAAATTAAAAAAATCTCATTAAATACTTGGACAAAAGTAAATGTTATTTTATAAAAAAAATAATCCCTTTAAGAAAATTTACCTTATATTTTGAACCGGAGGGAGTACTATCCAGATTGCAGAAGGTACCCCTAGTTTGTATATGATTTTACTTAAATTTAATAAATTGTCTTTTTATAAAAAAAATATGCTTTTTATTTTTGGTAGAATGGCATTTAGGTTTTAAAAAATAAATTAATGACAGGTGGATATTTTAGTCTCCAGTAAATTTTTAAAAAATAGTTAGATTAATATCTGTAACTCATTTTTTCAAAAAAAAAAAACCGAACCTGAGCAGTATTAATTTTATTTTGGGACTTCAATGCCACATCATTTTCATCTTTAGTTAAAAATATTTTTGAAAAAAATTTTTCCCACTGAATTCTTCCACTCACCGCATTCGTGTTTCTGTGCACACAGGTTTCGGCTTTTTTCACTTTTGTATGAATTCAAGATTTAGAATATTCATATTTATATTTTTAATTAACTTAAATTAATGTTAATTAAAAATTAAGATAAAATCTCACACTCTCCAAGGACTACCTAATTCCTGTATTAAAAAAAGATGAGACGGACAGAACAACAACAGCCAATGCACTGGGGAAAAGAGACATGAATAAACTAATAATTTAATTTCCTTTTGTTTAATTATTTAGGTCCCAGGATTGAAAATACTAATACTTTAACATTGTTTATACATACCTAAAAACTCAATTAACAAACAAGATTGCCACTCTGTGTCCAAGAAAAGGAAATAACAATAATAATATGATTGCCACCTCATCCGTACCGTTCCATGTGTCAATTGATACATAATTAGCATTGGAGCTAACAACAACAATCATAACGAACAAATTTCCACCATTTAAATCATCGAAATTCTAAAAATTCATTCAAAATTTGTTTTCTTCTCTTTATCAAGTTAAATAATTTTAACAGTGTCAGGGATTTGTAATCCAAACGACATCAAGAGTTTTCCTTAAATTTTTTTAAACATGATATAATGATTTTTTTTCCAAACATATGCATCTTATTTCAAGTCTGGACACTTCTTCCAATAAAAATTTAAATATTAATTTTCCTATGTGAATGGTAACAAAATAAAGTAAATCTAACATCTTTCTTATGGGTATGGTTGCATTTATAAATAAAAATAACAAAAAAAAAAAGCATGTTTATAGCCGAACAAAACAGAGTGTAATTCATGGGGAAAACTCATTTGATTGTCTGAAATTTTGTTGGTGGTCCCAGAAAATTCTGTTTGTCTTTGTAAGTCTAGAGCTCAGGTTGGCATTCCATCATTGCGTTACTGTTCATTAGGATCATTTCTGAAGGGAGAAAACAGAGTTTTCTGTTTTTTTTTTTGGATGATAGGAGAAGACAGAGTTTTAATGAGATTTCTTTAAGATCGAATGCCTCTCTCATGATTATAAGTATATTAAAGTAATTTAATCAACTATAAAAAAAAAAATTGAACCTTTTGTGTGCGTGGGTGCTTGTTTTCTTTTATAAATTTTATTTTGCAATAATTACAAGAATCTTGGTTTTTGTTTTGGGCTATGGGACTCGTTTGATGAGCTTAATCCATACTTTTGTCCTGTTTGGATGGGGAAAAGATATCAAGAGAGAGATGAGGAGAGGTAATCAGAGTAATAATGTTATAACTCGTCCATCCTATTCAAATGAAAAAAAAAAACAATTACTTCTTTTTTTTCAAAATTACTGCTAATCTTATTCTGACGGATATTAAATATGAATACTTTTAGATTCAAAATTTAATTCGTGTAAAACTTACCCCTTCGCTACAGACTCAACCCATCAGTGATTAGACGAGCTCTTGATATGGGAAAAAACCACGAACAGCGTATTTGCCGCCCAGAGTTGATAAAAGACAAAGCTTGTGAAGTGGTGGTTTTTTGTCTGCTCTTCCTTATCAATTTAGCCCCATACATTTATTGAATTTGAATAAGACATGTTAATGCTCTCCGTGTGAAAACGAGAAAAAACAGAGGAAAAAGACACACCAATACTTATCCCCTCCCAACAATTCCCATCAACAAAAAGCAGAAGTGATTGTGATCTTTACCACGCCAATACCGTTAACTGAACTTAAATCATTATCACAGCAAAGAGATCATTCCAGGAACAAAAATCTAAAGCAAGTTTCTGACAATAGCTGCAGTAACTTGAGCAATATCATGCAGAGCATTGTTCTCTGGTGTGAGTGGCGATTTCCCAGAGGAGAAGCCACTTTCACAAGAATTGGCTTCCAAGGCTGCGTCATTAGCCCCATCTTCTGCAAACTTAGGATCCCCCTTTTGCAGAGCTGCAATAGCTTCTGGAACATCAGCTTCTAGAACTGCTCTGTACTGGTCTGCACAAGAACGCAGGGCTTGCTTTTCCCTATCACTGTGGCTTCTTCGCTGAAGCTCTTGGCGGATTTTGGCGAGGGCTTGCTTGGCTTTGGCTTTCATGGCGTCCACCATGATGAGAGCTAGCCCTGAGATGTCAGCATCAGAGCTTCGAGGGTCTGATTTGAGGTATTGCAGACAGAGGGCTTGGTTTGGAGTGTGCTTGCAGGTTTGTTGTATGAGGTTGGCATCGTTGAAGGAAGATGAAGTTGCAGACAGAACGTAGAAGAAGAGGAGGAGAGGTAGGAGCTTGAAGTTGGTCATTTTGTCGAGAAATTGGTATTATGGGAAACTGTACTGAGAACTGAAAGATGATGAGTAGATTTTTATGAAGGGAGTGGGATTTATATACAGTGAGGAAGAATGGGATTGTGGCGTGCAAGGAAGGGATGAGTTATGGTGGGCTTGGTTTGTGGGCTTGAGGGTTTATGATGAGATGACTTTAGGCAAAAAGGGAAGGAGTTGGAGATCAAAAGAACAATCCGGAGATTCCATTATTGCCATTAGAGTTGCCACAAAGACACGCCTTTCTTTATTTGCTTTTCGGCCAACGCTCTATCATTCAGTGGATCGATTAATAATGATTATTGATAATAGTTGGGCTTGTAAAACGGAGGCAATTAAAAACAAAGGGGATTGAACCCGACGTGAATCGAACACGCAACCTTCTGATCTGGAGTCAGACGCGCTACCATTGCGCCACGGATCCACATCTGGTCCTTGTATTTAAACTTATATGAAAACGTATTTTTAGATTGTTTAAAAAGGTCATTTACTTTTTAAATATTTTATAAAAATCAGGAGTTATTTTTTAGGATTAAAATATTTTAGATTGCCCTATTAACATCATTAATCTTTGCATAGAGACTAAAAATACTAATAGAACAAAATTATAAGATTTAATATTTCTAAAAAATGAAATAATTTAATTAAAAAAACCATATAAGTATCAAATTAAATTATTTAATTACGAGTATGAAACATTATTTTTTTCATTGCAAGTAGTAGCATGTGAGCATATGCTCGTAACATCAAGCCCACAATATGATGCAAATAAAAGTAACGATGTTCTCGTTCGATCACAACAGTGCAACGCTTCAATTTTAAGGTGCAAGATATAATTTAAAAAAAAGCTAAATTTTGAGTAATATTCATATTACCAATATATATATATATATGAAAAAACTTGGATTTCACATTTCGTAAAAAAAATTAATTACATAATTTCTTTAATATTTTTCCATTTTTTTTACCAACAATAGTTTTGAATTAATGCACAAAATATAATTAAAATGATATAAATGAAAGCAAATATTGTGGGGTTCCCCCAGTGACTTAAATAATAAGCACTCCATTAATTATGGACGTTGATTATGAAGACAAGTCGTGTCAATATGTTCGCGGACTTGCCCATATCATATGTCTTCCACTTTAATGTGATGTAGAAATTAAAAACCCTAATACTATGCAACCAGATGGGCAATAATTACCCCTTGGAAGATGATGTAAATTTAACTTCCTCTGATCTGTTCGTATTAATTTCTTTTTTTATAAAAAAAGTTTACATTTCAAATTCATAGCCAATACAAAACAATATGCTAAATAAAATATCGGCTAAGTACTTTTGATCCTTTAATTTTGTACAAGGTTTTAATTTAGTCTCTTAATTTTAAAAAGTATACTTTTAGTCATTTAACCCTAAAATTTTTTTAAAAAAATGGTGACATTAAGATCTTAAATGTTGAGAAAATATTTTCAAATGCTAACATATGATTTTAATTTTAAAATATCCATGATTGTTGCAAAAAATCATCATCAAAGCCTAATAATTTTAGAATTAAAGGATCAAATGTATGCTTTTTAAAATTAAAAGACCAAATTAAAACTTTATACAAAATTAAAGAACTAAATGTATACTTTAACCATAAAATATAAGATATTGTTGGGAAAAGAGGACGGTACCTCTAAATTTTATTAATTGCCCTCGCTTAAAATGGCGGAGGAATACCATGGTTACATTAAATACTCTCACCATCACAAATAAAATACAACATCTGACTTATACCCCAAAAAAAAGTTTTTTTTTTAAAAATGAGACTTCAAAATCCTATTAACCTATGAGTAATATCCCTCCAAGACTTCATTCATCAGGGTGGGTGAAGCACTGAATCCCAAGAAGAAGGCTCCCTGCAAAAGTTTTTCTCATACAATAATGCTAAGTGGCATTCATATATGCCAAGCGAATAATTAAACACAAGGGATTCATTAAGTAATCAATCAAGTGTATAAATAAGCAGATAGACAATCTACAGTATCCAATCCAAAAATAATGCAGAAGCACTTGGCTGACTTACTAACCTTTTAAGCTGCTCAAATTAACTTCATAATCACATGCATTTTTGTTTGTCTGGGTGACATGCTTGAAAAGAGACGTATTTGAGATACACTTTGTCAAAGGTGCAAAAAGTGCCTCTAAAGCTGTTTAAGTTTGATGGAATTTCCATTGATCTACCATATGCCAAACTCAAAGCTATTGTATGTGAAGAGTCAACAAATTCTTGAACGTCCATGCTCGATATTTCCTACTGAATAAAATTAACTAATTGTTTAGTTTTGGTGCCATGGCATTGTTCTGATTTTTTCTGACCTTTGTCTAACAAAAAATTCCTTCACGTCTGTTATTATTCCCTCATATATTGGGTTGCAAAGCCTTTAGTCAAACCATTCTTCACAAGGAATAGCTGGAAAAACCTGTCCGTTCCAAATGTTGAGGTAAGATGCATGCCACTCTGTTTTCTCTCATGTCATCAGGTTCTCTAACTTATGTCACTTATGTCTAGGTAACACAAAATAAATATTAAACCAGCATAATTTCTTGCTGATTAATTTGGGAAACAATAACAGAATCCAATTGGTCCTGTTTTGCTTCATTCCTCTTAGGCCGTCTCGGTTTTCTAGCCTCTCACGCGCAAAAACTGTTTTCAGGACTTCCAATCTATGCTGAGATTTCTTAAATTGCGGGCAAAAAGGCGAGGAGTGCATGGAACTGTAAGTGCATTCGTACCAGAGTAGCATTCACTTACATTGTCTGCTTCACTTGTGTACTTAAGTGCACAAGCTTTAAAGCTTATGTGAAAATACATTCTTGTTTACAGTCCTTGGTTATTTGGGAGGAGTTCATTTGGCTGTCCTTGCAGCTTTTATTTGTCGAAGACATCCAGATGCCTCCTTAAATGCTCTAGTTTTGCACTTTTTTCAAACATTTGCCTTTTGGCCCTGGCCTAAACCAGTAATAGTGCATGAAGGGGTATTCCCAACAGTAACAAATGTTATAGAGACACAATCCTTGATGCCCATACAGCTTCCATCTAGTCCTCATGAGTATTGCCATTCAAATATTATTAGAAGCATATTCTATCGAATTAGGACCGAGTTTCTACAAGGATGTAATATGACAGGGGGTTATTTAAAAAAAAAATCAAAATTACATAGATAGCTTTTTGGCATCTTACTTGCTGCTTCGTTGATAACATTATTCACAA